CAAGTCTAGTGTAATTCCACACACAACTTGATGATACAAGATACAATTATATCTAAATTACATTTTGATTATTTATGAACATTTATATGTATACTTTTTAATTTTTGAAAGGAGTGGAAGCAATTATGTTCACTTTAACATGCTTTAAAGAAATCAAGAAATAATTAAAACGAAAACTATATGTTGAACAGTAGAACGACGGCAACAACAATGAACATTTTTCACGTGTGTACAGTAACAAATATTTAATTCTTGAACATTTCGGAATATACATATTCCATCTTCAGCAAGCTATATTGAACATGGTAAAATAAACTTTATAAATTTTTGTACCTAATAATTTACTCTGCTCAATATAACATGCTGAAGATGGAATATGTATGTTCCGAAACATTCAAGAGTTCGTTTTGTTTTGAAGTTAAGCACAAAGCTACACAATGGGCTATCTGGGATCTGCGCAACACAGGTATCGAAACCTGGTTTCTAGCGTTGTAAGTCCACAGACATACCGCTGTGCCACTGGGGGCGTTACTGTACGCACACACGTTAAATGTTCGTTGTTGCTGCCGTCGTTCTACTGTTCATCAAAAATTGTGTTATGAAGTTTGATATGCAGATTTCAGTTATGAAAACTCAATAAAAATATATATTTTATACCTAAGTATAAATTTCTACTTTTATTGGTATAAAACAGATGATATTTTGAATAATTATAACTTGCTCAAAACAATCTTACAACACTACAAGAATAGTTTTACATTGCATAATGTTGAACAATGTATTATTAAATAAAATATTTTTCGTGAAAAAGTTCTTGTGGCCCTCTAGTCTAAGTAAGATTTTCTAACATGAAGTTATTTATCACGGTTCTCTGTCTCTGCTTAAAATTAAATCATTAGGGAACGATAATAAATTATGTTATGATCAGGAGTAAAGAAAACTGGCCAAAAATATTGTTACATATGTAGTACAGTAAGTGCCTTGGTACACAAAACCTTACTGTAGTCTGTTTAAAAAGTATATTCTAGGGGTTACATAAGCCACAGACTCGGAGTCGCTTTGTAGTACATTGTTACGTATTTGTAATTTGTATTGTAAATGTAATGCGGCAGTTACTAATAATACTCAGTAGTAGTATAATTTATAGTAATATTACCAGTACTAGAGACTCTTTGTATTGTTAGTTAACATTCAGTTTACCTGTGTCACTCAGTCACTGTAACTTTTAAATACTAATTACTATAGTAGTATATGTGTATAAAAATACGACACCAGGTAACAATTAACCATGATTCATATTTTTCGTAAAATGAAGAGTTTAATTATAATCTGTCTTAGTTTTGTTAGAGAGGAGAGAAACAACCAAATTGATAACGTGGATTTTGAAAATATTGAGGAATCAGCTAATGACACAATCACGTTCAAATATATTTATTTCTGAAAGTACCAAAAATTGGCAAGATCCAACTTTTTATTTATAACCCTTGGCTTGTTTAGGACTTAAGTTAAATACTTCTATTTTGTTGGACCATTGTTTTACTAACATTTATCGAAGTTGCTATTGTACTTATTTTAAAAGACAAAAGTAAAGGTCGGCAATAAAAATGGAAGAGGGTTTAACACTGGTTTTTGGAGACAGCATATCTGTGGGAAAAATGTTGTCAATTAAAATATCACCTACATTTTATGCATTGAATAAAACAAGTTTTTATGCTTTGATATAGTTTCATTTTATTTTGTGATATTCAAGCTTCATTACTTGTTTCTGTTATTCACCTGTTTGCTTTTGGTTACTTCCTCCCCCAGTATTTCACTTTAGAGTATCATTTGATTAATGTTCATTTACTAAGGGTCTAACTTCGGTAATCTCTGCTTTTAAATTGGTTTCAATTTTGAACATTTTATACAGAGGTATGGTACATGTCGGAGAGATGTCAATACAATTTTTGTTCTATTGACAGAAGTCACTTTAAATATCAATAGTGATATAAGGGTTTACTAATTTTGTACAGGTTACTCTGTAACGTGGATGACGTAGCTTAATTAAAGATAATTACATTATGTGTTACTTGTAGTAGTGTAAAAAATGTTTTTATGTTACGTGTAGAAATCAGATATATTTTGCTACTTCTTTATTTATTTTCCTTTTGTTGGGAAAACATTTATCTTCCCTGTTATGATTTTAAAAAATTACTTAATTAATTTTTTTTTTACTTACAGGAAAACTTAGACAACAACTTCAGAACTTAGCCATGACCATATTTTGTAGAAGTCGAGTAGGATGGTGGCTGTGTGTATCAAGGATGATTTCTCCTAGCATTTACTGCAATTTGAAAGAAAGGTTACAGGAAAGCAGTGTGGGGATATTCAGAATTTATAGTTTTAGGGTATGTACTCCAAGTGTTATCATAAGATTGATGGGACAAGAGACTGAGTGCATGTTTTTCTGTATATGCCATAATGGAATTGTATTCAGTTTTACCGACTTATATGCCACTTGTGTAACCAACCTTTTAATCTTTTGACATAATGTGGCATTTTCATTTTGTGTTTTTTTTGTAAGACAATAAAATTATTACCAATCCCCCTGTCAGTATCTAAAATCTGGTATAAGAAAGATGTATTTCAAATGTGTTTTTTTTTAACAAGACTTTTTCAAGAAATAGACAGGTTGCACATGCTTTTACATACAGTATTGCTTTGCTGCATGAACCTCCTTCATGTAACTATCTTCTCCCCCCAATATTCATGTTCATGCCCATTCCTCTTTTGTTTCAACTTCATGTCAGTTTTCAGTTACCATGACCTCCCAGTCATCAACATCCAACTAATTCATTTCAACCCTTGAAACACTGTAGATATTCAACCAACAGCTTGGAAAATGATAGAATTCTTGAGAAATATAACAAACTGATAACCTACATGATAACATAACTGAAAGCATTCTGTATAAAAAAAAACAAACTTGTTTGCAACTTGAAGATAAGTACTACCAACAACAAGAAGGCCTAGCCATGGGCTTGCCCCTGTCACCAGTACTCCGTGACCTATAAAAGAAAGCCTGTCCATAGGCTCATCCCTGTCACTAATACTCCATAATCTATACAAGTAGGCCTGGCCATAGGCTTGCCCCTGTCAACAGTACTCCGTAACCTATACAAGAAGGCTTGACCATGGGCTCATCCTTGTCACCAGTACTCCGTAACCCATACAAGAAGGCCTGGCCATGGGCTCATCCTTGTTGCCAGTACTGAGTACATCTGTATGGAGCATTTAAATGATAATGTCCTCAAAACAACCACTCAAAGACCCAGAATTTGGTTCAGATGTGTTGACAATACATCTGTAACATGGCCATGCAATAAAGATAAGATTCCATAATTCATTAACTACAAGAACAGACAGTATCCAGCTTTAAAATTTGCAGTTGAAATAGACAAAGATAATGAATTTCTAGATGCGATGATTACCAAGACATGGTTTATATACTACAAGAGTTTACTGGAAAATACTTTGAGTGCAAATCACGCCAATCCCAACAGTATAAAGACAGAAGATGCTAAGAAGAAAGAGGAAAAACATATCACTACAACCCTTCTTGACAATTGATAACCTGAACACTTCATAAAGAAGATAAACACCAAGAATAAGCAGGAAGACACACAACCATATTTCAACCCATGTCAGGGGTATATCTGAAAAAATACAGAGGTTATATAAACATCATAAACTCAGAGCAATATTGAGAAGCCACAACACTGTATGATCACAGTTAGTATACACCAAACCACCTAAAGGTTCATTGAAGATCAAAAACACCACTTACGGCATCTTTTGGGAATTTGGACTCCAACACATTGAATAAATAAAAAGACCAATAAAGACAGAATTAAGATGTATAACACTTATAGAAAACCAATGATCTATCTGCACGTCATATCTGATAAGATTAGGTCCCTGAGTGGAAGGATACTAAAATGGTAGGGATGTGAAATACACTCACAAGAAACAGATAAACCTTCTACATCCAAATAACTGATAGAACACTTGGTCAACCTAGGAAGAATTCAGAACATTTTTTTTTCCTGTTGAGGCCAGTCAAATAGTGATTTAAATACAGAGGAGGCATTGTATGAGTGGATAGGACACTCCTTTTTAACAATAAGACTCAGTGTCAGATCCTGAGAAAAAATTCCTGATGAAAATAAAGTTAGCAGTCCAAAAAACCACAAAGTCTAAACACATTATAATACAATCCTGTCAGAGATACTGTTTTAAAGAACGAAAAGAGAAAAAAAAAACATTTTGCACCTGACAAAGGTAATGTCGGTGTAATCATGGACAAAGAGGAATACGTGAATACGTAAAGAGAATTACTGATGATATTCGCTATAAGAAGCTCAAGTCCAGTTAAAACTAACAGAGAATAAGATGAGTGTATAGGACACTATCCTTTTATAACAATAAGTCCCAGCATCAAATCCAGCCTCTACGACCACGCCTCACACACAGAGCCTTTCTCAGAACTTCCGTTAAAGTGAGAGCACATTGCCAGCTGAAACATACGAGTTAATTAGTATATAGCAACAGAAAAAGGTAACAATTAGTCTTGTGACCATATAAGCTACTAACCACTACTGGTGCCTGATTACTACAACTTTACCTTAAGTAACTAAAAAAAATTTTAAGATTGAATTTTTTAGCAGACAAGTTTAGTGTTACAATTCTTTCAACTGTGATAAAATTTTCTCTTTACCAGTAGATGAACAGGATGCGTGATGTATATATTACATCCAATAACAAATTATAGTAGATTCATATTCAAGTACATGAATTATTTGCATCAATTAATTTATAAAGTTGTTTTTAATTTTTTTAAGCTGGTTCAACAAAAGTTTTGTTATATTGTAATTTGGATTACAGTTTATTGTGAATTTATTGGCACTAGTTTTTCAAGAAAGTTACTGATTTTTCTAATTATTTTCCTTTTATTTTACAAGAGGTCTTCAATCTTGACAGTTGAGTTAAAAAAAGATATTGAATATCGCTGGCAAAAGGAAGTAGTTTCATCAAGTGGGGATGAAAACGAAACCCTGGTAAGGATCTACTTTAAGCGTTTTGTTCTTAAATTTTGCGTGTTTTTTTTTATCCACATATTCATTAGCACCACTTAATCTGTGAAGTTTGTGTTATCTGAATTCAAATATTAAACTGTCTTAAAGATTTTAGCTGTATGTTTGTCATTATTCTAATTAACATATACCAGTATCTGGTGATAAAAGATAGGTTGGTTTCTTCTCTTTAGATAGTTCCTAGTATTGAAACAGGGTTATCATGTAACTGATACTAACTTAAGTAAAATTTTGTCAGCAGTCACTAATGCCTAGTGCATTCTCTGTCTGAAAGTATTGTAGCAACTAATTATGAAGTTAGGCAACCATTAATCAACTATTACATAAAAATTTGTATGGGTGATTGGAGTGTATTACAGGTGTGGTCATCTTTCTTTTTTTTACCTACGTAAAAAAATTCTTAGGGATGATTTGTTTAGCAATTATTCTAACCAAGATAAGTATTGCTCTTGATCAGTAGAAGGATCAAGTGCCTCACTGATTGGGCTAGAGGGTTAACTCATTAACAGTTTTTAGTAAGACAGTTTGTTTTAAAAAACTCAAAATACTACGTTCTTCCCTCTTATAAACAAGACCCTTCCTTTGGTCTTATCTCAGGGTCGTGAGATGTATTGTGGTAAACAGAATGAAACCTGACAATGGTAGAGTGATCTGCTAACTAAACTAGAGGGTTAATCCACTACTGTTGCAAGTAAAGCACTTTTTATTAACAACTCAAACTACTTCACTTGTGTATATTAATGGCGTACGTTTTTTGTCTGTGTATTCTCTAATCCTTACTTCACCATGTGTTTATAAACAAGTGCAGACAGTGTAAAGAACTTGTGTTTCATAGCTATACTTCTGACACTTTGGAAAACTGACAAGTTAGTGATGCTCAATTTTTATACTTAAAAACAGATTCGTAACTACATGTAGATGAACTTAAAGTTTGTTGACTTGTAAGTTCTGACATGGAATATTTGAAAGTGGTTTATTACATTAGTAAATAGTTAACAGCTACTTAACATGTATTATCAATTGATTTACACTTAGTCTCTACACAAATGTAAAAAAAATAGCGTAATTGACCTTGTTGGATATTTTTTTCTTTAGACTGACATCTGGTTTTATAAATGCTGTATCAATAGAACTGTGATAATAATTCTCTTGTATGATTTAAAAAAAAAATGCAATTTCTTTTTAGTCAAGTCAAGATAAATTTTATGTGCTTTCGATGTTCCCATATCCATCAGGACGACTCCACATGGGTCATGTGCGTGTCTATACCATCAGTGATGCAATGGCAAGATTCTACAGAATGAGAGGCAAGAAGGTGAGAAAAGGTTTTAATGAATTCTACTTTCATACAAAGTCTTCAATGGCAGTAATGTCAAAATTTTATTACTTTATAATTTAAGGCATTAGTAATTAATTTATTGACCTAATTTTCCTGAATCTGCGGGTCACTTGTGTGTTGCTCTTTTCCTATTACTTGTTTGTGTCAATGACAATAAACATAGTACATCTCAATTTATTTTATGAAGTGAAATCTCTCTAAAACTTTACACTTGTACAGAGAATAATAGCTTTTCATGTTCTACTTAAAAAAGGATAAAAATATTTCCTCACTACTTTTGATCTTCGCGTAACTTTTCACTGTTGTAACGGAAGAAATGCTCATATTGAAATCAGAATGAAATATGTTTCTTAGTATTTAACAGACAATATATTTTGTTTAGTTATAAAACGTATTTCAAAATATTTACAAAATTGATTCCTGGCCTGGTGATGGTTTTAGGTGATCGACTCGCAATCATTGGTCTTGGATCAAAACCTGTCCCCCAATCATGCTCATTGTTTCAGCTGTGGAGCATTATAATGTGATGGTCAATCTCACTATTTATTGGTAAAGGTTAACCCAAGAGTTTGCAATGGGTGGGAGTTGACTAGCTGCCTTCCTTCTAGTCTGTTACTTCAAAATTAGGGATGGCTAGTTCAGATAGTCCTTGAGTAGCTTTGTGTAAAAATTCAACAAACAAACATTGGTTTATTTTCTGTCACCCATTTCTTCTTCTACTAGTTCTCTTAGCAGTAATCTGGTGTTTGTATACACAATTGTAATAATATTATAAAAATAAATGTTTGAAATAAGAATTGACCCAGTTAAGATATCCATTTGGCTGTTAATAAGTTTGGACTGTTTAATTAAATGTGAAATTTATTTTACATTCTTTAACTATTAATATAAAAGTAAAGACTAAAGAATGTTTTTTTAAGTAACTCTCGTAAAAGCACTCTTGAGTAATTTGGTTGTGAAAAGGTTGATGAAAACATCATTTTATCAAGGCTGCTCTTTGTAACTCAGTATTTTGTCTTAGTATAACAGACGAAGCGTGTCTTCGTGTTTTGTACAGCCGTATTAAAAGTTGTTTTGTAAAACATATCTTTTTTTTTCGAAGGTTAAAAAATTTGAAACTACAAAGTTCTATATATTGAGTAATTTTATTTGTGACTTTTATAAAACTCAGTGTAGAGCTGACCAAAAAATTGGGTGAAATTACTCATTGCCTACGTAAGATGTACATGAGACTCGAGCAATAAGTAGTCAGAGAAACTGTAATATTGTTGATATTTTTGTTTAGATTTTTTATGTGACCCTGTAACCAGCAATGTGATAGATCCATAAGCAATTTGGTGCATAAATAGTTTAGACAAGAATGTTTAAAAAGCTGATAATTGTAAGGTTAAATTTTATGGCTTTGTTTACGTGGTGGATCTAACCGATAATTTTGAGGTTAAAAGGTAAAATTTTTTTATCTGGTGAATCCAACCAATAATTTTAAATATAAAGTTCACTGATAACCGAGAGGTTAAAGGGTGCAGTTTTTTTTTAGATGGTCGATCCCACTGATAATTTTGAGGTTAAAGGGTCAAATTTTTTTTACGCTGTAAGTTTCACTGATAACCGAGAGGTTAAAGGGTGCAGTTTTTTTTAGATGGTCGATTGCACTGATAATTTTGAGGTTAAAGGTTCCAGTTTTCTTTACGTGGTGAATCCTACCAAGGTTAAGGTTAAAGGGTACAATTTTGTTTTTTTACACTGTAAATTTCACTGATAACTGAGAGGTTAAAGGGTGCAGTTTGTTTTTACATGGTGGATCCCACTGATAATTCTAAGGTTACAGTTTTCCTAAAGCTGATTTCAGTGTGAAAAATCATTTAACCAGAACTAAACCAGTATTGCCTGTTTTTGTTTTCATAGGTGATCCATCCAATTGGATGGGATGCTTTTGGTTTGCCAGCAGAAAATGCTGCTATCGATGGAGGAAAACAGCCAGATGATTGGACTTACAGGTAAATGTTGGAACTAATAATCTTCTAGAACAATTTATCAAGTTATAATAACTACAGCATTAATGTTATGATTAGTTTGTGAACTAAATCATGCAATCTAAGGTGAATCATGTTTTCCATTAAATTGTTTTAACAGTGTGTTAATGAGCTACTACATAAAAAAGATATATATAAATTTGTAATGCTAAATTAATTACTCACACACACATACAGTATTGAAAATAATTCATGGACAAAGTGGGTTTATAATGGAAATTACACATGATAAAGTAACATATTTTGTGTAAAAAAAGGAAATGCTGCCTAATGCAGTGTTGTTTTGCCATGGTATAATGTGATTGGGTGTCAGGCAACCAATCTGAAAAGTGCCAAATCAGCACAATGTCTATATAAGTACAGGCAATAATATGATTTTAGAGTTTGAAACTTGTGGTAAACATGATGGCTCCTGGAAAGGATATTACATGCGAAAAGTGTTTATATAAGTCAAAGTTTTAGCTAAAAATGGCTACCCCCTATTGACAGGTCACGGTTCAACTTCACGTTTCATCCATTGCTATATGCAAGACCCTGACGAGGGTTTTCAAACCCGGTACTGTTGGCAGTAGAAGTGGTCAAGAGAGAAAACTCAAACTATTCTAAAGTGACATAAAGTTATTCAGAGTAAATTCTTCACATAACAGGTGATGATACAGTAGAGATCTCGTGAATAACCTTACTACAAGTGTGGGTGTTAATGTTTCTTCAAGAACAGTAAGATACCTATTAGATCCAGATGGTCTAAATGGGTGTGTAGATGCTCAGAATACCTTTGCTGAGAAGAGGCAACAAAACAAAAAGACTGAAATAAAAATGCAACAAAAATGAGAACCAGTGGGATGTTCAAACCTGGAGAAAGTACTCTTTTTTTACAGGAGAGTTCGTGCTTGTTCTGTTTGGCAATAATCAACAGTAATGGTTCGAAGGCAGACTGGAGAGTGGTATAACAGTCAGCGTACAACAGCTATAGTAAAGTATGGGAATTAATCATAACAATTGTGGAGCTGTATCTCAGCCGAGGGTGTCAGGAAATTGTATAAAATCAAAGGTACTCTGACTGCTGACAGATTCAGGTATGTTCTGACTTACCATGCCATTTCTACGGAAACGCAACATCTTTCAATATGACGATGTCCCCAAGCGTACAGCCGATTCAGTGAAAACTTGTATGGAACTTAAAGAGGCTGATAGAAGTCTTCACAAAGTCCTAATACTGACATCATCAAGGCCATAAGGGGTCACGTGGATACTGATCGTCAACTTTTACAGAATATTACGAACCGTATTCCAGAGTCCTTCGTTGATAAACTATATATAGGAGCGTGAAAGCACGATGTCAAGCTCTATATAAAGCACCTATAACAAATATTAATGTTCTGCACAATGTATGTGTTTGACTTTGCATAATTTATGTGATAATGCACTGTGCTTATGTTTACACATATATATATATATATATACACTTTTTCTTTTGTTTCTATATTTATGTCCAATTCTATAAATATATATTTACACATGCATCTCCCCAATTTGTAATGTGAATGTGTAATTATTCATAAAATTCTGTCATTAGCTTTTAAATGCTATACTAGGTTCACCAAATATCAGCTATATATTTTAAAAAGTAACTTTTCAAATAAGAAGGCTTAAAACACGAAGTATTGTATAGTAAAGTTCATAATACAGTGTCAGAAATGTAAAACATGCTCTTGTTTGTGTGTGTGTGGTATCTGAAGAAGTAGGGCTAACAGTAGTTGGCACACACTGCTTACCAGACTTCTTTTTTTTTTCAGTAACATCAGAACAATGAAAGAACAGTTGAAACAATTGGGAATTAGTTTTGATTGGACTAGGGTAAGTATAATATAAAAAACATGTACATATTTAAAAAAAAAATTAACTTTGTATTATTTGCATTGTTTTACTGAAATAACTTAATATAGAACTTACTAATGCTAGGACTAGATATTATAACATTTAAATCTATGTTTTGGTGTTTTAGAAGCATTTGTGTAGTTTTAATTTTTAAATCTTTTAATAGCATGTACCTAGGGGCTTGGCTCAGTACAAATTGATTGGTATGAGTTCTGCATGAAATCTTACATGTCTCATGAATATGGAGAGGAGAATGAAATTACTTCTTACTACATTTTGTAAATCTTCATCTGCACCAATTAAACATTCGTGTTCTAGGGTAAAGTGGGGAAGAATATTTTGTGATAAATTTATCATTTACCTCAAAATAATGACATGGTAAAAGCACTATAATTTTCTTGACATTTTTTTTTTACATATCTTTTAAAGAACAAAGTGACGCATTTGAAACGGAATCCAAGTTTTTATAGACTTCTACTTTTGTTTAATAGGGAAATGATGCTTCTGGTTTTGTGCTGATAAGCACCTAGCGATAAGCCTAAAATTTGATTTTAAAACCAGTAAATGACAAGGAAAGTCGATAAAATTCAATAGATAATATTTAGGAGTTAAAAGCAATATGTATTGGGTGGCTTGCTAGCTGTTTTAATTGAAGTATTTAATTATAAATGTGTAATACCTTATTACCAATTATGGCCAACCATTGGTTTGATTATATTTTTCTGAAGTAACTCATGATTGAAAGATTAAATTATGTTTTTTTCCTGTCGATGGTACATCTTTCTTTCGTTAGGAGCTGAGTACCTGCAATCCTGACTATTATAAATGGACACAGTATATCTTTCTTCTTATGTATCACAGAGGTTTGGCATACAGAAAAGAGGCAAGGAACAGTTTTGTTTCTTATGTATTTATTATGTGTAACATGAGGGAAATAATTGTATTGATGTATTTTTTTAAATCTTAATTATTAGGTGTGAATTGCTAAATTAAAATATATTTTATAATTTGTTTAGTGGTGGCCATTAGAACATAGCATGCTATTTCATTGTTGTGAGTTAAAAAAACAAACTCAATAGAAACTGATATTCTTGAAATGTCGGCCAGTAGAGAAATAATTAGAAGTTACTCATGTGATAATTATTAGAGTTATCTAAATATATGTAATAATTACAGGAAATTAATTGTCTTTCACCTTTTTTACCCAAATTGTTCTTTTTACACTTTTGCATCTGACAAGTGAATTGCACAATTCAATTTAAAAAAAACATTATAAACAAAAACTTGACTAATCTCAGTCTTCTACACATTAAAAAAATACTTCAGATTTAAAATTATTTAAAAAAAAAGTTTTATTTAATTTTGTACATAAGGTTGACTTCAACATGCTTTGAATGAAACATTAGGGTTTACAAAGTTTATGAACTTTTTTGAGCATAATACTTTGCTAGTAGTCCCCTAGAAGGAAAATAAAAAATAGTTTTGAACAAAATAGTGTTAATTAAAACCTCTTAATTAGAACACAACCTCGGTTATCATGGTATAACTGCCTATATCGCAACTTTGAGAAGTCATAAGTTAGCCTGATGATACTTTGCTAGTAGAAAAGATGTTTACAAATATCTTCAATGACAATTACAGTTCTAATTAGTTTTTTTTAAAACTTGATTTATCATTTTATAATTTATTTGAATCATGATATTACAGTACAATAGATAATTACTGTATAATAAAACATCATTCAACAAGTGCGTAGAACAGATGCACTCGGGCATTCTAAGGTGAATGATCTATTTATTTTGTAGAAGGTGTTCTGAGTAACTCTTGTAAGTGTCGAGAAGAAACTAAACATGTTGAAGAAGAACCACATGTTAAATTTCAACAATTCACTTGTTTGATTTAACTTTGTCAGTAACTGCCACACATATTCAAGAAAAACCACACGTGAATTGTAATAATTGTTTGATTTAAATGTATTTCTAAAACTAGATGTCAGTAGGATTTCTATAATAAATGTTATCAAATGTATGATGATTTTTCTGGTAAGCTCTTTCTTACATTCTTAATTGAAATTGTGAAGTAAATGATAAGAAATGTGATGGTTGTAAAACAAGTTACCTAAGTGTACCGTTAATTAAAGGAATTATGTTAGTTTATTTAATGATTGTGAAATGGAATTCAAACATTCCCATAAAGTCTCTTGTTACAATTTTTAATTTATATCTGGACCACCTGAAAGAAACTTGACTTTAATACAATGTCACAGGGTCATATTCACATTAGCTATTTAATTAGATTGTAGTAAATCCACGGAAGATTTCTTTCCATCCAGGCTCTTGTGAACTGGGATCCCATTGATAAAACCGTTCTTGCAGATGAACAGGTGGACGAACAAGGTTTATCTTGGAGATCAGGTGCTAAAGTTGAAAAGAAACTTCTCCGACAGTGGTTCCTTCGTACAACGGTTTTTTCAAAAGTAATTTTAAAGGATTTGAACTAACTCTTATGATAGGAAATCTTTTAGTAGTCTTTTTTTGTCTATAAAGATTTTTCTAAAATTTATCTATATCTTACACCATTTCTATTGTATTTAATTTGTGATTAGGGTTAAAGAGGCCTTTTATGGATCTATTAGCCATCCTTACTCGGCGTTGCATGGGTATAACCCGAACAGAGGGCCACTGTTTAGCTATTTTTAAACAGAAAGGATCAAAATTTCACTTTCCCTGTAACAATACATGTCAAATGCATAAAGTTACAAATAATGAAAAAAAAGACAAACTTTTTTTAAGCATTGAATGAATATGAAATTAGTCTGAACAAACATTTAAATTTAATGATTTCCACCAGTAATATGAATTCTAACACTTTTATGCTTTTTTTTTAAAAACATGTTGTTACAAAACTGTTATTGTTTTACATTATTGATGGAAATGGTAATATGAATTCTAACACTTTTAAAAAAATGCATAAAAAAACAGTTTTATGCATGGTTTCTTTTAAAAAGTATAAAACAACAACAGTTTTGTAACAACATGGTTTTAAAAAATCTTATACAGAATAAAACCTAAACTCTTGTTCATCCCTCTGTTTAATTGGTATATTAAATCACTCTCTCAGCTAGCCAAGCTACTCAACTTATTCTGTAATTTAAAATAAAAGACAATATTTAGAAACTTACACAAACACAGTGTCTATGTGTTTTCAATGTAAAATTAAACCTTTAATTTTACAATGTATTATTTGAAGTATGAAAAATTCCTTTATTTTTTCTCTACATAATACCTATAATTCTATTTTTCTTATGTTTATTATACCAAAGCAATCGATTTATATTCTATATACATCATAATTCTATGTATTTAATAACTTTAATACCAGATATCAGTTATTGTTACGATTGTTGCCTAGATACCTGTTTTAAAACGAAGTTCCACAGTTAACAAATTCCCTAGTTGGGAACCACAGATCTAGACTGAGGGATGTAAAATTTACTTAAACCTGTTATTTCTATTAGGATTTGTATGATGGTCTGGAAGATCCCATGCTTACCAACTGGAGAGATATAGTAAGCCTACAAAGACATTGGATTGGTGAATGTACGGGAAGTACTGTGAAAATGAAGGTGCTATGTGATGGGAAAGAAGTTGATGATACTTTGTTAGTTTGGACCGACAAACCCGAGTTGATCTGGGGGTCGTCATATATTATTGTTTCTCCTGATCATCAATTAAACCAGCCAAAATTTTACAACTCATCATCATCATCATCAACTGTAGGGACGACAGAAGATTTGTCAAAGGGTGTTTTGCTGAGAGTTATGGCAGTAAATCCATTAAGTGGTCAAAACATACCAATTTTCGTTTCATCTAGTTTTGAATGTTCTCATGCTACAGAATCACATTTAGGTAAAACTTTTTATTTGTTGTAGTGTATTAAAGATGTACAAATTAACTTGTATTAAGTATTATTATCTTTCTAAATTACTTACAAAGATATATTGGAGGACATTTTCTCAGTATGTACTCTTCAGATGTAGTCATTACAGGCTTGAATTTTATAATAATTAAGAGCTATCATAACAGATATACTCAAGTTAAACTTGGAAGATTTCAAGAATGAATATTTATGACTTTCATATTAATCAGGCATTCCTGGTGAAATAGAGACAGATCTGGAATTTTCTCAGAATCATCATCTGAAGGTTGTCCATGTGACAGAAAAATCACAAGATGGAGAAACTGTACTAATAAACTCTGGAAAGGTAAGAGAGGATTTTTGTTTTCCATTAATTCATGTCATTAGGCCCGAAGAAGAAAACTGTTAAATGGCCTCTTTACAGATAATTTAGAATTTTTCAGGAAATGAAGTCCACTTTTTTAACTCAACATCTTTCAGTTCTCAGGTTTAACGCTTCAAAGAGCAAGAGAAGAGATAGTGAAGGAGTTGAAGAAACTTAAAATTAGTGGAAATCAGACAAGCAAAAAACTGAGAGATTGGTTAATATCTAGACAGAGATACTGGGGTACACCAATCCCAATCGTGCATTGTCCATCTTGTAAGGTATGTCTAGGTATCGCTACTGTATTGACAACTTTTACAGGTGAAAATTTATCCAGTATTTTATTCAGAATGTGTGTGTGTGTGTGAGAGAGATAAGGATATGTTAGACCTGGAAAATCGTTTATATTTTTTTGGGTTGGCAGGTTGTACCTGTTCCACTTGATGATCTTCCTGTGATGCTACCGAAAGTTTCAACACTTTCAGGTCGAGGAATCTCTCCTCTTCATTCAGTTGACAGTTGGATCAATACCAAGTGTCCCAAGTAAGGAAAGATAATGTATGCGTTGTTTTTAATTGGTATTTCTCGCTTTAGATACGTATTTTTAATTGTACAGGAAAAAAAATTTAAAATATCAATGTATATGAAATCTGATAATAAAAAATAACAGTAGAATGTAAATACGATGAAAGGAAGTACTCTGTCGTAATTGAAGTAAACTTCAATTGAAGTACAACGTTTCACCAGGTTAACCTGGCATCGTCAGGTACATCAACTACAGTAAATGAATTGAAACTACAAATATATATATAATAATACAGCGCAAGGTGAAATGTTGTACTTTCATTAAATTTTACTCTGTTTATTCGACTTATCAAGTTTACTTTTAATAGAATGTAAAGTCATGGTGCTTAACAGTAAAACCTGGCGAAACAGTGGAAACAGTAGGCCCAGTATTTGTGATAGAAATCTCGTAGTTGTTGTGTTTTTTTCTACAGTTCTTCTAATTAGCCCATTACAGATTTTAAATACACATTGTGTAAAAATAGCATTTCATATTAGTTAGAAAAAAAACGACCTTAACTCTCCAGGTAATAAAAAAAAATTTATTTCAGTCAGTGTTTCATCATTACAGCTTCATATAATACCGAATAATGAAAATTGATAATACGTTAAAGATTTTTTTTATTTTTAAAAAATAATATACATGTATAAATCTCTCACACTTTTAATTTCAGAGCTCACTTATAGTTTAAGCTTTATCAAAAACAAGATAATGCTTATCGGAACCAACTTGCTGAAGCTATTATGAAAGTGGAAAAGTAATAAATTAATGTATCTACATTATTTTTTTGTGTCTGTAGAACCTCAATCAGTGAAATGTTTTGAGGTTTCAAACTTGAATAAAAATAGTTCTGCTAATAATTCACCAAGAACTACTATCTAACGTTATTGCCCAAATGTCTAAATCCCTCTAGTATTTACTATAAATTCTGAAAAACTACAAAACATTTTTCCCATTCAGTACTAGAACTTGTCATACTGGCGGCCAGTGTGTTAACTTGGTGAAAAGTTTCTTTTTGAATTATTCTGTATTTTGCCTGCAGAGTTTGAACAGGTTTTTGAAACCCTGGAAACTACTGAAAGTCATGGACCCGGAAAGGTCCTGATTTTTCATTTCCAGTAAAAAAATTCCCTATGAAATAATAGCCATAATTTAAAAAAATTAAGCTAATAAAAAAATGTTTGGTTATTGGAATAAGTTCTATTTGTATTTCATGTTGGCCATTTTGAACCTTGGAAGAAGTTTTCAACATTTACTGGCGGAGAATGTTTGATGAATCAAAAAATGTCAACAAAATTTAAGTTTAATCCTGAGTGTGTGTGTATTGGATATTTCAATATGGGTCCTGAAATTTTCTTTTGTAAAGTCTGTATGAATCCTGTGCCTAGGATGAAGGTTATGTTCCAGGCTCTCTACTGTGTCCTTCAACGTATCCAAAGTGTTACTTCCTGTACCATTCCAGTTACTGAAAGCTGGTGGAACAAAAGAACCAATAGGCCCATTATAAATAACATTTCAGATCCATCTTTTATTTGTCACAAGCCACTACTACCCTGGAGGCTCTTTGTTCATTTCCTGAATTCTTCAGCAACACAATATTTAGAGATAGAAAGACATAACATTGGCAGAATTAATGAAATATTTAGGCTTAACTGATTTGTTACCTTGAATAAATTTTTTACTTTACACTAAATATTAGAAACTGTCATATTCAAAATAGTGTGTTTTTGTACTTTTTGAATTTTATCAGAAATTGTCAAGTTTTTCTTATATCTTGATATGGTTGCTAGCAAATTCCTGATGAGCAAAAAAATTAAAATTAACTTAGCAATTAAAATTTATATAATTTGTAACATGCTCTGAAACAAGCTTGGGTATTACTTTACATAAATGTAATTAAATATACGCAACCACTGTGATAACACAAAGGTTGTGTTTAGCTTGTGTTCATGGTTCAAAGAAGTTTACAACATTTGTTCTTGTTTTGTAAGGTGTGGAGGAAATGCTCAGAGAGAAACGGATACCATGGACACATTTGTTGATAGTTCCTGGTACTACCTACGTTTCTTAGACCCACACAATAATACTGTGCCCTTTGATACGGAGAAGATCAATTCTCTAATGCCAGTTGATTTGTACATAGGTGGCAAAGAACATGGTCAGTGTGAGAAAAGGTTTCTAGTTTCTAGTTTTAAGGTATGTTTGGTAGTTTAGGATTTATCCTTTGTCTTAGGATAGGATTACTTCTATAAGATTAATGGTTTTACATGATTTTTTACGGTAATTTGTAGATAATATTGGTAGACTCTCGCAAATTTTTTATACCTCATCTTCGGGTTTGTTGATGACATTTTGGATTCATTCTTGGCATTTGACCTAAGGGGTTCAGCATAGATCCTGAAAAATATCATCTACATGTCTAAGAAGTGGAAGGAATCTGTAAACTTTTAAAATTTAATAATGAAAAACTGCCTCGAAAGTTACAGAACATTTTATTTTGAGATTTTTTATGTTTCCTGTGAATGTTTTAATCTTTTCCTAATTTTTCAAATTCTGGATATTCATAAAAAGACATTCTTTGGAATGAAGAATTTTTTCATTAACTGTTCAATTTGTTATTTCTACATATATTTTTTTATTATTAAATTCTGATTTTCATTCAAAGATGATCAATTCTTTTGGGAATGATGGAAATTTTGTTATGCTAGAAGATTTTTTAATTTGACTCTTAAATGTTGGTGGGAGATTTCTTTATTAGTTGATTACCGAAGTTTTAATTTTTCCAGTTTACTTGGTGTTTTCTTTAATTACATAGTAAATATCAGTACATCGTCTTTTGAACTTATAGCTCTGAAACTGAAAATAGTTATACATGTTCTAATTTAGTGTTGTATTGTATTGATGTATACCTTAAAACACTCAGGATACATTTCTGAAGTCTTACTCCTCTCATTTTTCTGCAGGATTAGGTAATTTTTTCTAGGTACTTATTTGTTAACTAATCAGATTTTGTTCAACTATGTTTATCTATCAGCTGAAGTTTATAATCTTGAAGAACAAGGTTGTTTTTTATGGTGTATATATTTTTAAGTATCACCTGTGTACCTGATGTACTTGTAGAAAACAAAATCACCTGTGTACGTGATGTATTTGTTGATGTTGCTCGCATGCAATTAAAAAATTGTCTCTGTTCACTAAACTTTTATAAAACATATGGTCTTTTAAGAGTTAGTATGAAATAAATGAAACATTACTTTAATTAATAGCTGACTCTTTTCTGTAGCTGTTATGCACCTGTATTATGCACGGTTTGTCAGTCACTTCCTCCATTTTGAAGGACTGATGAAATGCAGAGAACCTTTTCAGAGAATGCTAGTTCAAGGAATGGTTATGGGGCAGACCTTTAGGGTTAAGGGCACGGGTCAATACGTGTCTCCAGCAGATGTAGAATATAAAGGTAAGAATTGTCGAAAGAGATAATCAGTTATCGCAAGTTGCGTGTAAAATCTGTTATTGACTAACACTTTATATCGAAACACAGAAATTTTACTATTCTATTGGTGGCAATGGATAATATTTGTACAAAAGTGTTTGTATAGTAAACCTGTCTGAAAACAGATTGACAATGTTAGTTTTTGTAGATCTAAAACTGCTTGTGTGTTGTAATAAGCTGATGGTGGTAATATTGTGAAAAAAAAAATTAACTGCAGTGTGTTGCAGAGAGAAATATGATTTCATAATTGTCTCTAATATACTATGTATCTTCAACTATACTTACAATAAAAGAAGTGTATTCATCATCGAATAAATCACTTATTTTCATTTCATTTTTCAAGGTAAAAAGATTTTAGACAGAAAGAGTGGACAACCCGTTGCAGCAGAATGGGAGAAAATGAGCAAATCTAAACTTAATGGCGTTGATCCTGAGGTTTGTTACTTAGTAGTACCTAATGCTAGAAAGTATAAAATTTGCATCTTATTTTGTGAAAGGTTTAAAATATATTAGATTGAATTTTGTAATGAGCTTTTTTTTTCATTACCAAACTTAAGTCTGTGACTTTTGAACTTTAGAACAGAGATGACTTCCTTATAAATGGATGCATTATTTATAATTTGTTTTTTTCAATTCATTCTCAGTAGAAAAACCTATTTTTACAGATAGAAGCACATTTCCATTTGTACACCACATCATTAAAGTTACCGGTAAAACCTGGACCTTAAAAATTTCTGAACATTATCAACCAATACATCAGGATTCCACTTACTCTAACCACAATAAAATAACATTTCTATCTTCACTATTGATTCTACTCACTATCTGGATTCCACTTGCGGTGTGAAGTTGGAGCCACATCAAACAAAATGAACAGCCTGGTTGCATCAACACCATGTTCTTTTAGGACCTCCTACATTTGAAACAAGTGATTTGTACTTACTAAGAATGGAACATGTAGTTTTCTCAGATTAATATAAAATTATCATTATCTCAATATACCGACTTTAAACCATCTACACATATTTAAATATCAAAAAGTATTGTAGCTATTTTCATCAAATGTATATTACACATTTCAATTTTTTTCACACCTATTGAATTGGTTCTTCATTAACTGTTATGGTTCTTATAAAATATTCTCTGTGGCAAGACACACAAGATGTTTGTTTGTTTGTTTGAAGTTAAGCACAAAGCTATACAATGGGCTATCTGTGTTCTGTCCACCACGGGTATCGAAACCCGGTTTCTGGCGTTGTAAGTCCGCAGACATACCGCTGTGCCACTGGGGGCCACACAAGATGTAAGACATATAGTAGGATGTTATTCTTATGCTTAGAATAAAAATAAGCTAAGGTTCCAAATGCTATTTACATGTTACAGTTTATAGTTCATGTATATATATATTAACTTTTAACTAGATTGCCACAAACTCCACTGACATCAGTAACAAGTTAACTGTTCTTTGTCCACAATAAAAAAAAATTCTATCTTCACTATTGATATTACTTACTATCAGGATTCTATTTACATTATCCACAACAACAAAAAAAAGGGTTTCAATCTTTACTTTTTGATGCAACATCAGGATTCCACTTACTCTAACCACAATAAAATAACATTTCTATCTTCACTATTGATATTACTTACTATCAGGATTCTATTTACATTATCCATAACAACAAAAAAAAGGGTTTCAATCTTTACTTTTTGATCACGAACATTATAAGCAAAGTGAATATAGTAAGTTGGAGTATTTATCCAACATACTCTTGGTGAGAACACCATAGTTTTATTGACACATATTTAATGATTTTTGTGTGTTTACAGTATTTAATAAATGAGAAATATCATGATTTATTCAATAGAATCCTGGCTACTTGTGAAAAGTGTACTGTTTTGTTATCATAAATTTTGTAGCACACCATAAATAGTTTTAAGTTACACGTGAATCATTCTCAAGAAATGCTCTCAGTAATATACTTTATTTTAAGAGTTCCCAGACATATTGAAATGGCAGCAGCGATTGTGGTCAACTGTGCAGACATTCAGGAAGTTTCGAGAAGTTCAAAGGAAAATACATCTATCAGAAGAAGAATGGAAAAAACACGAAGAATATCTACTTGACAGCCGAAATTTTTATTTGAAAGGGGTAAAAAAAAATCATGATAAATATGGAAATAACAATTTTATTGTTGTAATCTTATCAGTAGCTTGATATGATTTTCACCTTTTAATCAAAATTAGAAACCTTCATCCTACTGCTATATGACATGTATTTTTATTATTTTGTTTATGCATACGTTGTTATATTTAATGTTTTTGTTGTTTCACAGTTTACAGTTTGTTTATGTGTGTTCCCTTTCCTTCGAAGTTTGATCGTCCCCTTTGTGGCACGACGAAGGTACTGGCTGGAACTTTAAATAAGTCCCACATAAAATTCTTTGGGAAAAAAACATAGTGACTTATATTAAGGAAAATATGGAACATTAAAAATTTATTAATCAGTGAAAAAACTTAAAACTTTATTATCATTTTTGAATATCAATTTTTAATATGTAATAACTAATTGAATTATAAACATAGAAAAGAAAAATAACAGCACCATTGAAGTTATAATGATTTCTTCATTGCCAGTCATCTTAACATTTGTTAACTGAGAAGCAACAGTTTGATCAATTAGTATCATTTAATTGTAATTACTCCTTCCATCAGCCATTAATCTTAACATTTGTGATAACAGAGGCATCAGTTCATCCAGTCAGCATATTTCAGTGTTAATTGCAGCTAATTTAACATCTGTCATATTTTTAGAGATAAAAAGGTTAACAGTTATTTGTTATATTTCTTCGTAGGTTACCTTCAATTTCCAGGATTCTTACCAGTTAAGTGTGGCCATTTCTAAGCTGCAAGGCCTAACAGGTAGCCTCAGAGTAAGTACCCGATTAAAACTTTAAAATAATTTTGTTACACCAAGTCCACTTGGATCATTCAGTTATTTATGTAGTTAAAGGAGAGACATCAAATTGTAATATTTTTGTTGAATAACAAGGTATTTCCGTGTTACAAAGGGTTTGTATTGGATAGTGAGAAAAGTATTAAATAACACCCTAGTTTTTAGGCTATATCAAGTGGCCAAATTCTTTTTTTTTCTTTTAAACTCTTTGCTGGAGCCTTTAAATATTGATGAGGAAACCCAAGATCGCAATAAGTAGGTTTGACTAAAGCAATAAAAACACCTGAGGGCTAATTGTTTTTCCAATGAATAAATACTTTAATTTGATGTAATATTGATTCCTATGAGTAAATTAAGGTTTGGTGCTGCATAGAGCCCATCTGTTGGTTGCGGTGCAGTAAAACTGGATATTAAGAAATTATGGCTTTAACTGTTTCAGCACGGGCTCGGTCTGTGTGACCGACCTCATAACCATTTTGTGCTTGATATAGTTTTTGAGCTACAACTTTTAAATTGATGAGCATATCTTTATGAAATTTTATAGATTATCAGAAAACAAGGCTTTCATATGCAAAATATCATATTTTTTTTTTATAAAGTTTTAAGATGTTTTAAGTAATGTTTTTCTCATGTCTTTTTCTTCTTTCCGCATGTTGACTATCCAACACGCAAAGTAATTTTTTTTTATTTTAAGATTAAAAATACTTTTATGCATCAGAACATTTTCAAATTTAACAATGCTAAATCTTTATAATGTCCAGATAATTATCAAATGTTTCTTAAGAAAAAACTTTATACTTTATCTGTTAGTTTCACTAATGAATCTCTGTACATGTTTGGTCGATTTGACCAATCTTGTAACCACCATAAAAAAATTAGGAAATAAATATAAGTAATGCTTTTTTTCGTTCCAGAATGACTACAAATTATAACACGAAAACACAAATCTTTAGTCTAAATTTTTATTATATTGATTTTCCAGCCATGTCTGGTAAACATTACAGAAGATGCAGTGATGTGGCGCACGTCCACTCGTATTACATTATCCAAGAATATAAAACTGGCCTTTACAAAGTGACCTGTCTTGGCTGTGTTTTAGTCACATTTCAGTTGTAATACATTATATATGTATATAGATTATTACTATTTACAAATAAGTTTTGAAACTTATTTTTCTTAAAACATAGAACAGTAAATAAAGAAGTATAGAAAACAAATATCTCTTCTAGTTATGAACTTTGTACTCGTTTGCTGCTTGCACGTGGAGGATGTGAAATTATATAATTTTTTTAGGTTTTTTATATATACATTTGAAATAACCAAAAAAATCTTACATTACTCTTTTGATACCATAGAATTCCACTATACTTTATCAAGTTTAGTATCTTAGCTGTATTTGGATCTAAAAAATATGAAATTTCAAGCAGATTAAGGACTCAATTTACTAGCTTGAAGTTTTGTATCAAATGAACGAGTTGATATTATAATACTTCAAAATGGCTGAGAAAGCCACTAGGGGGACATTCTGAGCTTTTGATTGGTTATTCACATGTCACAGACAAAAGTAAGTGTGAATAAGGATGTGTTTCCAAAAATGGAAAGAGGTTGGAGGG